TTTATTAGATGCATCCGAAGAAGTGGGCTGTAGTCCACGAAAGCTTATGCTCTAATAAATTTGTTAGTCTCTAAGGTGCCACAAGTACTCCTGTTCTTCTTTTTGCGGATACAGACTAACACGGCTGCTACTCTGAAACCCATGATTAAATCAAGTCTTCCTGACTAGTGATTTAAATCATAATTTAAATCAATCTGATTTAAATCAAATCCACCCTGGTGGTAAGCAACAAAAATCTGTCTCATAAGAGACGGGTGGCTTTGTTCCTGGCTAAAGGATGTTGAGTTATGTGACCTGTGCATTGGAATGATATGCGAAGAATATTGTCATAAACATCACAAAAGAGCATGACCTAATTTAGTTTTGAAGAAGTAGCTCTGATTTTAAAATACCTTTTAATTTAGTTGTTGTACTAAATGGAAGAGGGGCTTAGAAAATCAGAACACTACCTTTTTTCTCTCTGTTTGGGTGGTGCAACATAGAGTGAGTGCCCTTCTTCATTTGAACTAGAGAGTCTGATTATTTTTTTACAATGTAATGATTTGTCAGCAGCCTGGTTTTCATCTGGCATTACCGTCAGATTTTGTACTTTTTCTGTGTGTGGAATTTCTCAGCAGGGAGATGGATCAGTGACAGAATTTTGCTACGAAAGAAAATCCAAGTCATAAAAAATGTTCAGGGTTCATCTCTTTCTGCCAGAATGAAAATATTTTCTCTTCCTGTTTTGTAGATACTATATTTTGACAGTTATTCCTGCCTGGTGTGCTAAAAAAGTAATGAAATTGTACTCAATAAAATTGTCCCACATTTTTTCATACCAAAAGGTGGAAATGTTACATTACTGGGCCTCTGCTAATTTTGAGGCAGGCTGTGTTTTTATTGGTGATGAACTTATTTTCCAAAACTTCACACCAAAAACGGCCGAAGGTTTCAGGAAGGGATGTACCAGCATCATTCTGGCTGTGTTTTACTAATGCCTCGTTTTAAATAAACATGCAGAAAACTAACAGAGGTCTCTCTGAAAAATTAAACCTTTTTAGTCTCAAATGCTCCCTTTCCCTAGTCTGGAATTGTGGGTAATACTCGTAGCTGTTCTGGTCCTTGCTTTTACAACACATCATGCAAGTCCTTCATTTCCGGGCAGCCGTGCTTGAGTGTCATCTTGCAGTATGAACATGATATACTTTCTGGGATTGGCAGAATGTTTGAATTTGCTTGGCTGCAGCTGTTGAGTCCAATGTCTGCCCCAGTTTAGTTCTCTACGTAGCCCTGCACTTCACTCAGATGTTCATTTGCTGCAGCTATAGATGTGAGAAGTCAGTGGATTGGGACAAGTTGCGGAAAATGAGGAAATTGGTTTAGTTGTAGCTTGCTTAATTTCCCTACGTTTTTAATCCCAACTGAGTCCTATGTTCCTGTCAGACTGGTCTCTAGGCTGCAGTCATCAGACTGTTGGTTGCATGACGCTGGTTGTCTCCTTGTTTCCAACTACTAAATTAGTGGATAGCTAAAAATGTTAAATATAAAGCTGATGTTACTTTTCCCCATAAGCAACTGTGGTTGCCACAAGGATCTATTCTGTAAGAGAAGATGGTCTGTGTTATCGTAACTTGGAGGGGAGGCAGTCCATGAGAATATGAAGATATGGTCCAGCGTATGAAAGTTTGAGAATTGCTGGCCTCGATGACTTATCCTCCCCCCTACTTTGCAACGCTTCTTGTCACTACCACCTAGGTCATGCATTACTATTGAGTAACGTGATGCTCTGCTTCTGTAGCACGCTCATCTCCAGCCAATCCACAGAGTGAGCCTGATCAGAGAGCCGCAGCGTGCTGTGTGACAGAGAAGAACATTGCCATGGGGCAAGCCTGTCGTATTTACATTGAAAAAGAGTAACTTGAGGGAAGCTCTAGTCACTGATGCTGTGCGGTTCCTAACGAGTCACTTTCATTTTGTGTTTTGACAGAGTGGAAACAGCTTCCATGTTTTTGACCAAGGCCAATTTGCCAAGGAGGTGCTTCCAAAGTACTTCAAACATAACAACATGGCCAGCTTCGTACGTCAGCTCAACATGTGTAAGTACCTCTTAGGCAGTTCAAGAACCCGAAGCATGAGGCCTATGCCTTGCTGCAGTGTTGGCCTCCTCTGCCTACCTCTTTCTTTAACTGGAAGGGCAGTATGGGAACATTCTGGTTGGGTTGGGTTGGAAGCCTGTTAGCTTTGAAGCTTCTCATTATCAGATTTGGTGGGAGGGAAGGGGAGCTGAGTGCACTCATACAGGTCCCTTGGCTCTTCGAACGAGAGCCCTGCACCTTGCACTAGCCTTTCGGTGCCGACGCCCGTCCTTGCCTTGGGCACGTACACCCTGTAGCCAAGAGGGGTCCCATCTGGAATTCTCTCAGAACCTCACTTCCTTTCAGTTAGCCTGAGCTCAGCGTGTTTGACAGGCTCACTGATTGCTTGTCAGTTTCCTTAGGGGGCAGCTGCCGTGTAGGTCACTTTAAGACCCCGACCAAACCTGACCTGTTTAAAATAACTTCAGCTGGTTCTGGAGTCTCTCCACATCTCGTACTTGCTCTTTTCTATGGCTCTGTCCCCTCCCCTGCTTATGATGATCTAAGGAGGGAAGGGCAACGGGAGGCAGCATCTGCCTGCCTGTGGTAACTGTTGCTGCTGGAAACAGCAGTGCCCTGAGAAAGGGAGGTAAGAGCTCCCTGCCCCTTCCCAATGAGAAGCATCGCCAAAGAAATCCAAGCCTCCCATAGGGATGAAGAGCTCGGAGAGTTGGACTCCCCTCTACTCTCCTCCCTGTTTCGCTGTTGAAAGTGGAGCGGACGGTCCCCTCCTCAGGAAGCAGAGCCAAGCTCCTACCCCCTGCTGGCAGGCAGGGGAGTGGAGGTTGTGAGGCCGTTTTTGCAAGAGGAGGAGAGCTCATCCATCTGGCTCGACTTCACATAACAGCCCATTGACCTCTCCAGCACTGTTCCCTTGCTGGTCCCATTGCCGCAGCTGACTCCAATGCGGGAGGAGGATGCAACTCGCTTTTTGTGGGGTGGCCACAAATATGGGATCACTTTGGAATAGGATTGACCTAAGCATCGGTGTGTATTAAGGCAAGTGCTCTCTCTTCTGCTTATGCTGCCGGAACCAAGGGGAAGTGATCATAGTCCTAGAATCAAGAAGAAAGGAAAATGTTAGGGAAGCCTCATCTAATTATATCCATTTTAAATCACATGGGTTAGGCATTCACTCAGTTGTCAGTTCCCTCCTTTTTCACAATGGCAGGAAACAGCTGGGACAGAATCCAGGGCTAGCATGGCTTGTGACAGTGGGAATATTTTGTAATATTTGAGTCCTGTTTGTGCCTTAGTTTCCCCTATATGGTGCATTAGCTCAGTGGGTGGAAAAGGACCATTTGCTCTGAGCAAGCCAACGCACACAAGTCTGGGTGTCGCATAGTTGTCTGGGCACTAGACCCCATATCAGTGGAGCATTTTAGAAGACAATGGCAAATCCAATTGCCCAGACATTGACGGTTTGCAGCCAACACCCCCGAGGGATGCAGATTCCCCCCCCTCTCGACAGCGAAGATGGGCACCGTTCCCCAGCTGGAGTACAGAAGACTGGGGGGGGTTACGTGTTGGCTGCTGGAAGGAGTTGGGGCTCTCACCTGGTGTCTGACCAAGGAGGTCAAATGGAGAGACAGAGCTTGAACCACGGCTTGGCTGGGCTCTGGGCTGACCAGAATGGACTGTGCTGTAACCTTCAGTTCTGTAACCATGAGGACTTACTGTGCTGGGTTCCAGGTAACTAATAAACTCACTGTTTTGATGATACTGTGCGAGTGTCCCTGCCAGTGCTGGGCGAGGTGCAGTAATCCCTGCAGAGTGGACAAGTCTCCATCGGGAATCCGTCTCAGTGGGCTTGCTGAATGGAGCTCACTGTGTGAAGCAGGAGTGCTGAAGACCCAGAGGTCCAGTCTAAGAAGGCACTGGAGCCACGTGGCTTACCTGGAGGAAGAGTGAGACCCGTAGCAGGTCTGGCACCCTGAAGGGGTTCCTCCGAGAGTCTGTTCCAAAGCTAGGGGCATAGCACCAATCCTGTGGATCTGTGACATGGGTATGTTGTTAAAAGTCAAGAAATGATAAGGTCTCGCTTGATATTCTTATCGATAAACTAGGCAAATACAATTTAGATGGGGCTACTATAAGGTGGGTGCATAACTGGCTGGATAACCGTACTCAGAGTTATTAATGGTTCCCAATCCTGCTGGAAAGGCATAACGAGTGGGGTACCGCAGGGGTCTGTTTTGGGACCGGCTCTGTTCAATATCTTCATTAACAACTTAGATATTGGCATAGAAAGTACGCTTATTAAGTTTGCGGATGATACCAAACTGGGAGGGATTGCAACT